ATAACGCCAGAGACTTTATCCTTTATCCTTCGTCCCTTATCCTAACGAACTGCCTATACATTTCATCACAGTTTTTCCAAGGTGGTCCTACTACTTGGGCTTCTGTTAATTTCGAGAGAAAAACAGGGCAATCATCAATGCTGAATACGATTTGCTAATAATACAGAAATAGTCAAACCAAATTGATAAATGTCAGCCCTTCGGAGTTCCCCGAATACATGACTGCTGTAAGAATCCGAAGAAGAGTAGGAAAAGTATGAAAATAGATTTAACTTGGGCCTGCATACAAACACAGTCGACATCTAAGTCTAGGCGTCCTTGTCTCTCATGAACTATGGAATCAATTGAGTGATATTTGTTCCAGTTACCTACTCCGACGAATTCCTACAATTCTCGTAAGTCTTTTCACTTAGTCCTCATTCTTCTCTTTTCTTCTATCTTTTCCTCAATCTCTTTTTTTGCACCAGATCCTTCGGGATGAATGACCTTCCCTTTTGCATCAAACTGTTTTCCAGTTCATTAGCGTTGAAATAAATGTTCTTGAAACATCAGGAACATCTCTCGATCTTCATTTACCTTAATCTACCATGGCAGATCTGAGATGGCTATTGACTTTTTATTACTTCCTGATAGGAAGTTAGGCAAAAATTTTGTTTTGACCCAAAAATGACGTCGAAAAAGCCGTGGACTTGTCATTCTGAGACGAATCAAACCGGGTGGTTCGTACCGTCAGAGTGGGACCTCTTCATTGAGACACTTTCTTTTTCGTTGCATGAATACATCAATGTAAAGCCATCGTCAACTAATCGTGACCCTCCTACATTTTGACAGTGTGTCAATATTTTACTTTCAGCCTGTTCATTACGGTCATCGATAAGTTGTTTTATTTGTTGACAAGCTTTGTTAAATGCATGAATTTTACATTTCTTTTTGTTAAAAAAAAACTACAAAGCAAGGGTATTTTTGCAATAGCCCATTTCAGATTAATATCTAAACTGATTTCATAATTTTATAGATTGATAGTAAAAACTCCCGATTTTGAGGTCATCGAGGAACGTTTTCTCTAAAATTAGAAAGTAGCTGCTCAGCACCTGCATATTGTGGAATCTTACCATCTAATAAAACCAGCTTCACTTATTGGAAAATCCTGCCCTTTGTAAAATTTATTTCTGTGAATTTGCAGCCATCCAAAGTTAATTATTTCTCAGTTCTTCTTCTACCTTAGAACCTCACCAAGAACCAATTCAAACAGCAATATATCCAACAATATATCCAATAAATCTGCATATCGAGAAAGAAACAGAATGCCCATACATTGCTAAAGGCTGGTTATGTAAGCTTATGAACCAGCCAGACATTCTTAGAAACTTTCAGCTCTCTCCACTGCAATCTAATCCATCTGTGGACTTTCTCACCTATCCTAATCAGTAATGTACCCTGTGAGGGGCACAAAACAGGTCACAAAATGCCTCAAAAATTGTCGAAAAACGTTTAGCTAAGGTAAAGAATTGGCCAAAATTGTTAAAAAGTTTCCAACTCCCTCCACTTCTAACCTTCCTCAACTATTGGGTTGTCCAGAAAATAATGCGACACTAGCAACACAAATTTTTACATAGTTTTTTATGCAATGAAAGACAAGTTCAATCAGTGATATAGCCGCCGTTATTATCTATGACCTTCATCCATTTCACTGGCAGTTTGTCGATCCCACTTCTGCAGAAATCAGCGGATTGCGTGCTGAAGAAGTTGCCCACCTCCATTCTGAGTTGCTCCTGCTTATCGAAATTCTTATCTCGTAAGTGCCGCTTCAAGGCTCGAAACAAGAGACAGTCGGAAGGGGTTAGATCAGGGGAGTACGGTGGATGAGGTAGTACTTCTCAACCTAGCTCCTGAATTTTCTGACGCATCATCGTTGCCACGTGGGGGCGAGCGCTGTTGGGCAGGAGATAGGCTTCCAGTCGTTTATGTCGTTCCAGTTGGATACTTTTAAAGGATTGCACCGGCTTCTTTCTGTAGCTGGTTAGAGTACGTCGTTGCCGTCACAGTAGTGCACTTTCCAGGATTCGTAGTAGAGCATCCCATCACAATTACGTCCAGGACGTTCCTGTCCTTCGATAGAAATATCTCCGGACTCGGAGCGGTGATACCAGCGACTAACAGTGGAATGGTGTACCACATCTTTCTTGAATGCAGCGCAGGTGTTATTAGCTGCTTCTCTTGCAGAATGTCCTTGTAGGAAATCATAATACACGATGGGTCGAAGGACACTCGGATTTGTAGGATCCATTACTGTTTTTCCGTGAGAGAAGAAGCCTTTTTATAATATTTCGCAATACCAGGTAGGTGTGGTCTACCTTACCGTAGATCAAAATTGGGTGCTATTGGCTTTCGAATAACTAGCGACCCTCAAATTCCGAGCGTAGCAGGATTTTTTGGACAACCCAATACTTACTTCAATGAATATTTTT